ACGAGCTAAATGGTCGTGATTCTTGCATGTAGTCCACATCGATACCGATTAGGTGAGGCCATGGTCTGGGGTTGAGGGATCACTGATTAATTTCTATAATCATTTTTTAATAATATTCTTAGAAAAAAAATTAAAATTAGAAATGCAAGGAACCTGGGAAGAGTAAATAAAAATTGGTATGTAACTCGCTTAAAAATAAAGAAGAAAGAAAGAAAGAAAGAAAATCTGTATGGAAGAATTTTTAGTGAGAAAGAAAATTTCTTCCAGCTGAAAATTTTGAGGGAGTCTTATCCAAAAGAATGAAAAAAAAAAATAAAATTGGAGGGAGTTGGTGGATGCGGGATGAAATCTGTCATACCGCCGTCACTTTGGAAAGTCAATGGGTATTATGGTGATTTCGTGTGGAAAAACAACGACCGCGTCTGCGACTGCTTTTAATGAGAACGAAAACAAAAACTTTTCTCATGTTTTCGTCTGCTACGTAATATTTATAATATAATTATATTAATTGAGTTTATATTATAATTAATTGATATAATTAAATTAATTAATTTTATATTATAAAATGTTTTTTTATACAATTTTATAAATAAGTACGTTATATAATTAATAAAATTAAAAAAAGGAGTTTTTTTCATATATTTTTATATTTTTTCTATCATTGTGAAAATTAGTTTTTTAATTTGAGTGAATTTAGAAAATCATCCTAATATATTAAAAAAATAAAGAGCCATTTGTGGTCATGTTTTTTTGTGCTTTTTTAAACAACCAATAATTTGTTATATATATAGAATATTTTATTTTATTATTTAAATTATAAAATAATAAACATTAAATAAAAGATGAGATCTTTAATATTAAAAAATTACTTTTATTTAATAGTTATGATTATATAATTTAATATAATTTAAATTATATAATTTTTTTATGTACATTATAAAAGAACATTATATAATCTATATTATATAAATTACATAATTCAAATTATTAAATGAGAAAAGGTATCTAATATTAGAAATAGTCTTCTAATCTAATAATTTTGATTTTATAATTTAAATTATAAATTAAAAAACTGATATAATATATCAATATATTATTAAATTGTTGCATATAATATTAGATTTTAAAAATAAAAAATTAAAATAAAAGAGCATTACGTCTCAAAAAAAGAATAAAAGCGCATTACGAAACAAGTCCTAATCTTTTTATTACATTGGTAAAATACTGTTCTAAGCTTTCCAATGCAGGAAAAGTGCCATGTGAATGGATATTTGAGATTGAATACAATCTTTGCTCTACTATTTTAAAGTTCTTTTTTTTTTTTTCTACAATTTGCTAAAATAATAAAATCACAATTTCAGTAAGATCCGATCAACAAAATACAAATAAATACAGTCCCATAAAATATTAAATATAATACTTCCTCTATTCCAACATAATAATAATAAATGGGATCATAATTTAAAATCAAAATTT